TACTCACCTTACCTTTTTCTCTACCTTTGTGTCTGCCTGTTTCTTTTACATCTATGAACCACTCTCCTGTCCCCCCCCCCCACCACTCGTATTTTTCTCATTTTGATGTACCGCCTCCCCTTTGTGAAGCTTGAAGTCAGTTAAAGGTCTAATAATAAATATCATGAAGCCGGTCATTTGACATAAATAAATAACCTTAAGCCTATGAGTAATTTTCGTTGAAATCTTACTGTCTAGCATGCGTCCTCTACATTCACTTCTCTAAACTTCAGCTCAAATAGACAAATCATCTAATCAGAATCGGCCTCTCCACGATCCGTATATTAAAATGTTCGAAATAATAGACTAACTGACAAATATGCGAGACAATGGAATAGGCTTTACCTCTGTGAAATGACGACAAAGAAATAGTTCAATCACATATGTACAGGACATTTTCACCCAGACACTTATTTACGTATTTTGACCCAAGTGGGTCATTAAAAGTTCAAGGAAAAAACATGTCTTTTCATTCAAGATTGCTAACCAACCATACCCCCTCCTTCAAGTGCTGTTTACGTTAAGTCTAGCTAATTTGTATTGTTCAGGTTGACTTGGCGAAATTAATTTACGTTAACAGTATTTTTTTTTTTGAAAAATGCACTTCCCCATTAAGAGGATAGTTTTCACAGTAGAACTGTTCCACAATGTGCTAGAAGCAGAAACAATCTAGCTGAGATGGCTTGCCTTACAATTCGAGGTTAATTTCAAACTTTTATTCATGTGGAATTGGCTAAAATGACTTTATGGAAATTCAATAGACGTGGTTGAATAGAAAGGTGTAATTGCCCCGCAGTGCCTCGGTAAGAAATCATGGTATTTCAAGCGCCAACACCAACTCTATTCAAAAGGAGAATTATTTGTGCCATCAGGCCTTCATAAAGGAGCGTGAAATGAGGAGATACTATTGGGCTTGCTACGAAAAATCTACTGATACTCCACCCACTACTAGATTTCCTATTCCAATTCTGACTAAAATACATTGAGAGGATAAACACACTCTTTAATAAGCTGAGTGTAGATGAGGTCTACCTCCTTCAAAATCCCAAATTTCCCCTTTGCTAGGACGTCCCTCGCAATTACTAGTTGAGAAATTCATACGCTGTCACATACAAAAGCATAGTTATCTTACCAAACTTCACAGGTTCTTCCAACTTCAATAAAGCGACATCGAAGCCCCGTTCAGAGTATCCACGTCGATAATCTGGGTGAATAATAGCTGCTTGAATGGCTCTAGTGACCTCCTGTGGACCATCATCTTTCCCTCGATTATGATCGCCGATTTTTGCCACTATGGTTACATCCATCTCCATCTCAACGTTGAAGACCTGACCCACGGTAAGAATTCTGTCAGGTACAAGTTCGCTTAGGCAATGCGCAGCCGTGATAAGCCATTGATGAGAGATCAAGGTTGCTCCGCAGAAGGGGGATTCCACAACTCCCTTATTTGCAGCAGAATCACCGAAAGGTCGAACATAAAGAGCAGACTAAAATGCAAAGCGAAGGTCTTCTTCAAACTTGGTAATTATGATGATAAGAAATTCAGGAGCTATCGTAGTAGGCTATTGGCATTCACCTCTCCTAGTGTCACGAAGTGTAGTGTCCAACCGGAATTTCCCCACCTAAAACGACCAATTATTTGGCAATATTTCTTCCTCAGCCTCTCGGATCCCCCTAGCTTACGTCCAGATCTAACCAATGGCACAATCTCAGTGGCCCTAATTAAATTCATTTATTAAGCTCCAAATGAACACATGTATTATATTACTTCATAATTTATAATATGAATTAACTATTGAGTAGGAAGATGACATCCACCAACTATGTCTTAATTAGGTTTTTTTTAAATGCAATTTTGGGTCAAATTAATATTGCCCAGAGTAAGGCAATATACGCTAAAATTGTAAAGTTGTGTGTGAAATAATTTGAACATGGCAAGTAATAAACTAATCAATTAAAGTTGAATAAGTGGGGATCGATCTGAATGTTTCGATTGATTTCTTACATCATTCGAACTTCGATGTCAGGTTGCACACTTCGTCCAAAGAGATAAAATTCTTTGTCTCACAGTTTAATATATCGAATTTTGAAATTTTACATATTCTGACTAGATTTTTGTGTAAATCACTTTTCACAATATACAGAGCTTATCGACCAGTGAATTAACCTTGTTATTGAGCACCTATTTCAAATAATTCAATTATCAGTAAAATCAAGTTCGTAGGTTGAAGCAAAGCCAATTCATTTTAACAATTAGATTTTCCAAATTAAAATTAGTCAAATGATTTGGGAATGATAAAATCGAAATTAAGCTTAATAAATGAGGTTTTAAATAGTTTAATAGTCATAAATGACTTGAGAAATTGTGATAGAATAAATAATATTGTAAATTAGATTGATTAATTCACAGATTGAACTAAAGACGCTGCTTATTTAGTAAAATTCGTACTGATTTACGTACGATGATAATGAGTTGAGGACTGAGTTCATTGGCTGGCTAATTATAGACCGATATATGAAATTAGGAGGTTGATTTTCCATTTAATGAACCGTGGTGAAATATGCAGATATATATATATATATATATATATATATAATGGTTACAGATGACTGATCTCAAAATGGGTTTTAGCATATATATATATATATATATATATATATATATCCTAAAAACGAATTTACTTTTGAACACAGGTCATTTTAAGTAACTGCTGAATAAGTACTGGAAATTGTGAATATGATCAGTAAATCAAGGGACTAATAATAGAATGGTAATTTTGAAAAGTGAATCTAACACTCAGTGAATATTATACAAATCATAATTATAAATTGATATACGACTCTAAATTTACACAAAACGTTTATCTACAATCCTACCAGTCGTCCACCCTCCCCCCCCCCAACTTTTCATTCCTATCGCTTTACCGTAAACCAATTTTAGTTGTCTCTCATAAAGCTAAACTTTCCATTGATTTTAAGTGCTCTGGGTAGGTATAGTGTAAAAAACAAATTTTAAAATTAAAAAATAGTGTTTACCTGCCAAGGCCAGCTATGTGGCTTAGCTTCGCGACCGCCCATAATCTTTGGTGAAACTTCTCGTCGCCTCTCCCCTACCGCGGTTCGTATTCCGCAGGTGTTCACAAGCTCTTGAATAGTTTTCGATGGAACTGCAACAGGCAATGAGTGATAAAATGAAAATATGGAGGTCAGTATCAGGAATGCATAAAGAATTCATCTAATATCTGACGGCTTAAGATTCTCTCGCATTCTAACTTCTTATTTAAGGAATTTTCGCCTTTGAGTACCACATCAAAACCACGCAAGAAATTGTAGATTATAGTCTTGTAAAGACATGCCAAAATCTTATATCAATATCACGTTAAAGTTTGTTTAAATGCATGCACCTTGAGTTTACATTTATATATGTGAACTCTGTGAAGCTTGAAGTCAACTAAAGGGCTTATGATAACTTTCAAAACGCCTGCCATTTGATATATATATATATATATATATATATACTTTTCATAATAGAGTAACTGTACCTAGATTGTCGCTAAACTAGCTTCTAGATTTTATATTAATATAATTGAGTTATTCCTGGCAAATTGTCATTGAATTTCCTCGTGGAAGCAGTTCAACCTTATGCAGTTTGTGCTCCCCTCGTGAATAGATTGAAGGTTGTCAAATTGGGGAGAGTTAGTCATGTTTTACAATGCAGACATTGGCATTGCTAAGTGGCGCTCTCATTATCAGTGAGTAGAAAAGGAAAAAAACCTGGATCACGCAATAGGACAAGGTCACTTCGTGTTCCCATTCCTCCTTCTAAAATATCTCATCCTCTGCCACTGACCTTTTTCAGTTATTCAAAATAGTTGCGAAAGAACACATTTATCATTTTTACTCTAAACAACTTCTTGTTTACCAGTATACACATCTTCTTAAAATATTTAAAATTAAAATTATTTGCTAAGATTTGTTCTTGTTTAAAACTTTGTAAAGAACTTACTTTTTTAAGCTTCATCGCAGTATTTACGAAGTGGCTAATGTTTAGTCGCGGACATGTGCACATTTGCAGCATTGCAATTGGCTTTGTGTTTTTATTCAATGGAGGCTAATTTCATTGTTATAACATATTTGCTGGAATCGATTGACTGTTATCTAAGTTTATTTCAGCAATTACTAAACAAATAATAGCAAAGTACAATGAAAGCGAATTTGAAGCGATCTTTGTAACTTGGTTGTGCAGTATCTGTGGGCCCAAAATCCACCATCTCCAACCCCCCCCCCCTCCATCGTCCACTATTTCCAAAAATCTTACGCAAAAAAGCTTCAAAAAAGAGGAATAGATATCACAGAATTAGGACGTTATAGATCAACGGAAAACATCAAAGTTGTTATTAGGGTATTAGTGCACGCATGACAGAGTGGTCAACTTGGACGTCTGTGTTAAGTCAGATGTCTAGTGTCTGTGCTGGTCTGCACATATTCAGTGACTTGAGCGATCAATTCTACTGATTAATTTTTATAGAGAGTGGATATTCCACAAGACAAGATTAAAAATCCTTCGTATAGATTGAGGGTTGGTATAATTTTCTCAAATTCGCCTATACCTTTACACTGTGACTTAATTTGACGGCGCCATTTCATTTTTGTAAAAAGAGGAATTTTGGTGAAAAAAAATGGATGACATAGTTTTGAACATACAGCTTGCATAGAACTTTCTTCAGGTTGGAAATTCATTGTATTGCTGGTAGAAGTTGAGATGATAAGTACATTACTATTTCTAATGCATATTACAAGCAATTGATCGAAGTAATTCTCTAGTAGTTATTTCAAAAAACCAGTACGATGGAATAACTACAGTACAAATTTATGTATTACGAAAAAAGACTAAGTGACGTTTTTATCGACCCTATTCCTGAATAATGCATTAATCAACATATTGCGAGTTAGTTGTTAAAATGTTCCTTCAACAAATGGTGTGCGATAGACTTACCTCCACGTGGTGCATCCTGGGGAACGTATACTCATACAGCAAAAATGTCTATTAACGGGCAGTTGACTTCTGGCTTCTAGCACCATCACCCCACTGTATGTGTCATATTTGACTACTTCCACAGTTCTCCCCTCACCCTTTTTCTACCTTTGTGTCTGTCTCTTTTACATCTTTAAAACACTCTTCTGTTCCACCCTTCCTCAATCTTGACTTTTTTCAGTTTGATGTTCCTCTCCCTCTGTGAAGCCTAAAGTCAACTAAAGGGCTAATGATAACCATCAAAACGCCTGCCATTTGATATAAATAAATAAATGTTGCTTCAAGTTCATTGACT